TTGCGTTTCTCCATCCTAGCCCTGCCGGGTTGTGGACTTCCGCGGGAAGACAGAAATGCCTGCTGGGACAGTGTCTGGGTCGGGGGCCACAGTAGCGCACGCCTCCAGCTGGGCTCTTCAGACCGGGACGTGGAGGATGCTGGCGTGGAGTGCGGGCGTGCGGCTGCAGCGCTGCTGCTGCTGTCAGCTGGCGGATGCGCGGAGGCGTGTCCGGCGCCGTGCACCTGCCTGGGCAGCACGGTGGACTGTCACAACCTGGGCATCCACGCTGTTCCCAAGAACATCCCCAAGGCTGCGGAGAGACTGTGAGTACTTCACCGCCACTCTGAGCACGTGTGTGTGTGTGTGTGTCAGGTTGTTGTGTTGTTTAGGAGATGATTTATTAATGAGAATGTTGAAGAAGTTCAGAGTGAAGGAAGTTCAAAAGTCACTATTGTTAAAGACGATATTACAAAATGTAACTAAACCTTCACCATTGTCACTGACCAATCAGATTCTTGTTTTGATATTTAAAACTAGGAGTGCCCGATATTAACTTTTTTTGCCAATATCCGATATGCCAATATTGTCCAAACACTTAATTTCCGATTCCGATATATTTATTTATTTATTTATCTGTACAAACCACGGTATGAGTATAAAATTAATAAATGAGCTGCAACGCTGCCATCTAGTGACTTTCACTTTCATATACAGCCGTTTTCCCCCAAAACTATTTTTATAGCATTGCGTTATCGTTATTTCAGAGAAAAAAAACCCATAACGATTCTTGGCGATATTACATAATATGCTAATGTCGGTCTGATAGTATTGTTCAACCGATGTTACCCGTCATCCCTATTTAAAACTTAACGTACTTTTTACTGCGTACGTTCCAGTGGACATTTGTGACCCACCGTCTGTGGTCACTGTCGACCGATTCTCCTCGTCATGGTGTTAGTCGTTTGTGTCAGTCGTCGTTTTCAGTTTCATATCGTTCAGGACTGCAGGTCAAAGTCATGAACTTTGACACACTTTACTATCATTTAATGGATTCTCCGTTGGTTTTTAAACTCTGTCTCATTTTCATCATTTTCTTGGCCTTTCATATTTATTCAAACCTTCTGTTGGCGCTGTTTCTCTTCTGTAAGTCAAAGACTAATTCTGTCTTGTTTGACGTCTTCATTTCCTCCACAAATTCAAGTTAAAAATTTCATATATTCTTAAATCAATTTCTTAGGACAGAAAGAAGTCCTGAAAAGAAAAAAAAAACAATTTCATTTTTGAGAGTAAAAAAGTGAATTTTGTTTTCTGTTGAAACAACAAATCTGTTACAAGGAGAATAATCTCCACCAATAAGAAACAGATGTCGTCGACGAACCTGTTTTTCTCTCGCTCTTCAGGTTTTTTTTTGTTATATATCCAACTGTTTTCACTCGACGTAGTCCAGACTGACGTGTGTTTATTTGAGTTTTTGTTTGTGGCCTGTCGTGTCGTCTCGTCTCCTACTGGACTGTGTTACGCTGTCAACGTGTTTGGACTTTCCTGATGTTTTTCTCAGTACGACACAGTCCAGGTCAACACCATTTAGATCATTTAGATTTCACACGTGTACGTGATGAAGCGGTCACTCAGCCTGAGTAAGACAGAAAACGGATGAAACCGCCGGAAAACGGTTTAAAGGCATCGGCCGCTAATCTGTTTTTTGAAGTTCTCTTTCTTCAATTCTCAAACTGAAGCTCAGATGTTTGCGGTTTGGGAACGTCCAGCTGTGTCCAGTCATGTTAGGAGTCACAAAATATACTTATATAATTCTAAAATCTTTATGCCGTTTACTGTGTTCTACCTTCAGTTTTCCTCTAAATGGGGATGTTTTTTTTTCTTTACAAAAACGTACATTTATGATGAGTTTCATCTAGTTGGTACTGATTGTGATGAAATGCTGCTTCATTTTGTTACAGTTGTTCCCAAAATAGGGGGCGGAGAGCCCGGCAAGGCCAAAGAATATCAGTTTTTGGTCCTTTTTTTAAACTTTTGTTTCTGTTGTTCAGTGAGGATAGGTAGCAGTTCTGTTGTCTGATGGGGTGGGGGTGGGGGGGGTCTGGTTGTGGTGGAGGTGTGGGGGGGTCATAGTAGTCCTAGTTCCACTTGTCCATTCAAACGTTGAATCATGTGCAGTTTCTGCTCAGAGCCAAACCTCTGTCAACACGACTGACACCACAGCAGCTGAGCTGAGCTGTCAGTCAATGTCACGTTGTCCTCTTCCTCCCCCTCCTCCTTCTCCCCCTCCTCTTCCTCCCCCTCTTCTGTCAGTGATGTGAAAAGTCAAACAGGCGAGCGACTCTGCAGACTCCAACTTTTTTCCAGGCCATTTCTCTTTGGCTGCCGATCCCAGAACTCCACATCAACGATCATAAACCTCCACGCTGCAGTGACCCTCACAGGGGGGAGGATAATGTGTCACCCACCGCAGCCATCAATTATTCACACACACACACACACACACAGACTGGCATAAACAAACATACACACACACATGTTCACCCTGGAAATCCTGCTCCGTCAGTACAGTACACATACAGACAGAGTACTACTTCATTACTTCATTATTTATACATACTAACACATCCAAGACAAATCTTTTCTTGTCGCCATGAATTTCTTTAAATGATCTGAACCCGTCCTTTAAGACGGAGTAATTCGTAGTAATCCATTCATTCATTCATATCCTTTTACTGAAGTGTTTCTGAACCTGTTCCCGTTGTTTGGCAACACGGCCGAGGAAACCATGTCCCCTCAACTTTATAGTTACTTTATAGTGCTCAAAATATCATGGAATTACACTGCAACATGTCCAAATTCCTTACAAGACACATTTGTCCCTTGGTCATTAAAAAAGAAGTATAAACTGGTCTCAAACTGTTCTCTTCTAAATGACCTTTACCCCGGGTCCAAACCTAAGATCCGGGGGAACTTTGGTGCCTCTCCAGATAAGCTCAGTGACATTCACCTGGTAACTGGCTGCTCCCATTGACTGGTAGTGGAGGAACCAGGTCATGATGTGGGGGCGCTGGAGTCTCTGACTTTGACGTTTCACTTTGACCCACTCTTTATATCTGTCTGACTTCAGCTCATTAACGAGCAGCTCCCTCGACGCGGAGCGCCTGATGAGGAACTTCCTGTAGTAACGTCCCCATGCACCCACGTCCCCCTATGGCAGAGTTTGGAACTGCAGATAGCACTAGTGTAGACCGAAGCATGATGATGAAAATTCAGATTTTCTCACCGAAAGCGTATGTTGCGTTTTTTTGTCTTTGGGCCAAAGAGCACATCAGCATGTAGACTAATGGAGTCTGGAGCGGCTGGGCTGGAACCCACATCCATCCACATCAACTGTGGCCCACAGCCATCGTACTGACATAACTTACAGTCGTAAATCTGTACCAGTCGGTGGCCTCGCCCCGCCCCTTTGGTTCTGCTGCTACCATGTTTCACATCTTGGCATGAAATCGCGCCTGGGATTCGAGCCATCGACCTCCGGTTCTAGAGGAGACCACTGTGACCACCAGGCCGCCTGGCTGATAATTCAAAGTATATGAGTTGAACTAGTTCCCCTGGAGGTGCGCGGTGAGTCAGTGGAGTGTGAGCAGACCGCAGTCAGAGACCCAACTCTGAAACACTGTGTGTTCTCCCACTGAGACGATGATGATGATGATGATGATGATGATGATGATGATGGTGATGATGATGATGATGATGATGATGATGATGATGGTGTTGTTGTGTAAGATGATGATGATGATGATGATGATGATGATGATGATGATGATGATGATGATGATGATGATGATGATGATGATGATGATGATG